GGAGTCCCTGAAATGCCCATCTCCAGAGATATCTGTGGAACCCCCATCTCCTTCCAGGGGTGAGGGCAGCTGCTGCCCCCAAACCCTGCTAATATGTTTCAGGGGGACAAGGCAGGTTTTTTTTCCACACCTCCCACCTTCACCATGAAAAGAGCTAATGTCCCACTTTGGTTCAGAGCCCCAGAGTCAGTCATACAGACCAAGTCACAGTAGCCAGCATCCTCAGTCCAGACTTGCATGCCTCCAGGCACAGGGGAGTCACTCCTAGAGTCTGGACAGTCTCTTAGCATCCTTCTTCTCAGTAGTCATTGTAAATAGAAGCTCACTACTCTTCAGGCCTGGAGAGGCTGAAAAACTCAGTTGTCATGATAAGTCATATCTGAATGCAGCACTTCTTAAAACTGAAAACTAATGCCAAAGAAAAATCCACGCCAAAGATCGAAATTCTAAATAGAGGCAATTGCTTCACCCTTATCCCAGCCCTAACAGAGTCCATCCTTAATGAAAAACTCAATATTCAGTTCAACATGGGTATTTTGCATTCATTTTTATGTTTTTTAAACATTGCATGAAACTCCGGTTTATTACAATGACTGAACTTTTTGACATCCCCTTAAAATTTGCTCCAGGCTGGGAGTGGTGGCTCATGCTTATAACCCCAGCACTCTGGGAGGCCAAAGCAAGAGGATTACTTGAGGTTAGGAGTTTGAGAACATAACATAACAAGACCATATCGGGGCGGCACCTATGGCTCAAAGGAGTAGGGCACCGGCCCCATATGCCGGAGGTGGCAGGTTCAAACCTAGTCCTGGACAAAAACTGCAAAAAAAAAAAAAAATATTATTAATTTAAAAAAATAACAAGACCCTATCTCTAAAAAAAAATAAGAAAAATTAGCCAGGCATGGTGGTGATGCACACCTATAGTCCCAGCTACTCGGGAAGCTGAGCCCAGGAATTGGAGGCTACAGTGAGCTGTGATGATGCCACTATACTCCAGCCTGGTCTACAGAGTGAGACTCTGTCTCAAAAAAAAATTTTTTTTAAATAAATTTTGCTTCCATGGTGTCTCACCACCTCACCCAATCCCTGGCCTCATGCACAATGAGGACAAAGACAGTAAAGATTCAAAACATGGCCGCTTGCTGAATGGTTACCATGTGCCTGCTGTATCTCCCCCAGATCCTTTTACATCCTCCACAAATGATGCATGAGGCCTCCTCTGTCCGCCCCCCCCCACCAGTTTTTTCTGAAGCAAGACCAGAGCTCCATTGCCTTAGGCCATACAGCCAGCGTGTGGTCCCCAGAGCCCGCTCTAGCCTACTCCCCTTATGCACACACGTGTTGGCCAATCTGGCAGCAGGTGTAGTGGAGCCCCCTTGGCCAGGCTCAGGTGTCACCAGTGCTAGCATGCAGGCTTGAGCCACCAGCCTCGTGGCTGCATGCCACAGGGATTAGGTCCCTCTGCTATAGCACCTGCCAGGAGGGATGAGAAAAAACCCCAATGATGACATCAGGCAGCTCCTGCTGGGCTGTGGCTATGCAACACCCCCTCCACCGCTCAGCCCCCATGCAGCCTGCCAATCCCTGATGCTGTCTACCTCCCTGTCCTGGGCTGTGCCCACTCAGTGACTCAGCAATGACAGGCCAGGACCCTAGGAGCAGGCTTTGTTGTCCCTGTTTTATAGGCAGGGAAACTAAGGCTGAACAGCAGAAAGATGCCATGAGGCCCAAGGACTAGTCGGAGGTGACTCTGGCCACAGAGTACCCAGTAGTCTCTCAGGCTGCACCACCAATCTGCCCATCTGGACAAGGCCCTGTGGAGCCCACTAGGGCCACAGCCACCTCCCCCAGGGGAGAATCACAGCAGCTGTACTTGAAATGGGTAAATTGTATAGTGTCTGAATTTATGTCTCAATAGGCTGTTTACAAAAACAACACACACAGATACTTACAAACAAAGGGCACCTGGTGTCCACAGGGATTCTATGAGGTTGGTAGAATCACTGCCAGTCTTGTTTTTCTTTCCTTTTTTCCCAACATTTCTTGGATATGCTGAGACATTTTTAAGTGTTTAAAAGAAAGAGGCTGGGCACAGTTGCTCACATATGTAACCCTAGCAAACTCTGGGAGGCTGAGGCGGGTGAATCACTTGAGCTCAGGAATTCAAGAGCAAAAACCCATCTCTACTAAAAATAGACAAATTAGCTGGGCGTGGTGGTGCCTATAGTCCCAGCTACTTGGGAGGCTGAGGCAGGAAGATTACATGGGCTCAGAAGTTTGAGGGCCCAGTGAACTGTGATCACACTACTGCTCTCCAGCCTGGGTGACAGAGTGAGAACCTGTCTCTAGAAAAAAATTAAAAATAAAAAGGCCGAAGAGTGGTTCACTGCCAGTAGCTCAGTGAGTAGGGTGCTGGCCACATACACCAAGGCTGGGGGGTTCAAGCCTGGCCCGGGCCTGCTAAACAACAATAACAACTGCAACCAAAAAATAGCTGGGCGTTGTGGTAGGTGCCTGTAGTCCCAGCTACTCAGGAGGCTGAGGCAAAAGAATCGCTTAAGCCGAAGTGTTTGAGGTTGCTGTGAGCTGTGACACCATAGCACTCTACCGAGGGCAACATAGTGAGACTCTGTCTCGAAAAAAAAGGGCAGCAGAGTGTGAATCAGCTCACTTCTCAAAGCAAGGCAACCAGTTTATTTAAGTAGTCATTTTAAAGATTTTAGAATCAGAAAAGAGGGATTATTATTTATTCTCTATTTTCATATTTTATATATATATAAATATATATATATATTTTTTTTTTTTTTT